TATTTGTGGCAAGTCACAGATGGTTAAACAGGTTTAAAGCCAGGTCAAACTTACACAACACGAAAGTGAGTGAGGAAGCTGCTAGTGCTGACAAAAAACAGCCTCTGATTTTCTTGAGACATTTGTTGCTATAATTAAGGAGAAAACTTACAGTGCTACTCAAGTGTTTAAAGTTAATAAGACTGGACTGTTCTGGAAAAAGATGTCTGACAAAAGCTCCAAGGAAGAAAAAGCTGTGCCTGGCTTTAAAGTTCTGATCACTTCATTTTTTGCTTGGAGAGCATGCTGCTGGGGAGTTTATGCTTGAGCCACTCCTGGTTTACCATTCTGAGAATCCTAGATCATTAAAGTGTATAACAAAATTTTCTCTGCCTGTTGTGTGGAAGTCAAATACCAAGGCTTCGGTAACCAGTGTTCCCTGTAAACTGAGTACTTGGGCAGTCGCCCAGGAGAGATTCAGATACCATGTCGTGTGGTGTCCCACCCTGAACTTCTCAGCCCTGGGGGTCGGGCTGTACATTCCCAGGTCCGGAGGCCTAGTCCATCACAAACGCAGGCCCAGAGACCTAGTCCACACTCTGGGTGGATGGGGTAGGTGGGTCCGGGCACTCCCTCTCCACCGGACCCCAACCCAGGGCCCTGTCAGTGGTGGGTGGTTCCCACCACTGGCTCGGCGAGGAGTTCTCCCCGAAATGCACCGAGCCCACCAGGGGATTCCCTGCCCCTTGCCCTGGGTTGCTGGCTCCCCCTTTGGCCAGTGCGGGGTTGGACCGCCCCATCACATATCGCCTAACTGATTAGCAAAGTGCCCAGTGTCCACAACCAGCAGCATGTGTTTCTATTGGTGGTGCACATCCGCACATGCCTCAGAGCACATATCAAAATTTATTCTGCACATGGATGGAAAAAAACAGAGGGAACATTACCAGTAACTGTGGCAATTTTTGAAGATTGGTTCTTTCACCATTTTGTGCCTGAAGTTAAATTGTATTATGCCAAAAATATTCCCTTCAAAATTATGTGTGTTAGACTGTGCACCAGATGATTTTCATCCCAACATCAAGGTTGTGTTTCTACTTCCTAAAACAACTTCCTTGTGGCAGCCAATGGACCAAGTAGTTATGAGGTCATTTAAAGCTTACTATATCCAGAGAATGTTTACTCAGGCAACTAGGGCTACACAAGGGGAAGCTTCTACACTCAAACATTTCTGGAGAGATTACAACATTTATATTGCAGTAAAGAGCACTGCAGAGTCTTGACATGAAGTCATACAGATCAACATGAACAGGGTTTGGAAAAAGCTTTGCCCTCAGTTTGTTAATGGTTTTTAGGGATTTGAGGAGAATCTAAAGAATGTCACTGAAGCTATAATCGATATGGGAAGGCAACTCAATCTTAAACTGGAAGTGGATGATGTAGAGAAGTTGTTGGATTCATATGCAGAGGATGTCTCCAATGCAATTGGAGGCACAAAAGGTTGCAGAAGAGTAAGCTGCAGAGGAGATGACTGAGATGTCCCCACCCAAAACAGTCATAATTAAAAAATGTCTGAAACGTCTAGCATTACTGAGGGGGCCAGAGCACTGTTTGAGGAGCAAGACTTAACTCCTCAAGATTTGCTTCAGTCTCCAGAGCTATCACAAATGCTCTCACAAGGAAATTTATTGTGAGAAAAAGGTAACTGTCCAGACTTCCCTGGAAACTTTTTAAAGATAAGGGCCCCAAAGCAATGAAGACTATCAACCTTCTCATCCTAATTTAATTAAGCTTCTTCAAGCACCAGCATTTAAGGTAAATAAAAAAACAATTTCTTACTCAGTTTTATTGTTTTTGTTTAATTACTAGTATTGCAACAGTATTTGTTTTCTACTGTTTCATTGCAAATGTACAGTATTTCAGCTATGTTATGCACTAAATAGGCTTAATGGCCTAGCTTGGGAACTAATTTATAGCATTGTTTTTATATGAGAATGTGTTCCAAGTTCCAAACAACCAACTTACAAACTTTGGAACACAACCTGTTCATAAATTGGGCCTCCCTGTAAAAGATTAAAAACTCACTTCCCGTATTCCCATAAACTGTTCTAAAACATGATTATTAACATTTCAGTTTTGGATCATCTTGATGCTGCATTGTTCTCTATCCCCAGGCACAGTGAGTAGGGCCATCAGGACAAGAGCGGAGGAAAGATTTTCTATTGAAGCTATACAATTTCAGTTATGTCGGATGTTGGTCACATTGCTTAATGCGCAACTGAAAGGAACTCAGAGCCAACAGTGATGAAAGTGACATAAAAACAGATCAAGAACATCAGATCCCCTATGACAGTGTTTCCCAAATGGTGTTCCAAGGGTTCCATGAGAAAATTCCATTACAATAACATTTTATGATTTAAAAAATTAATATTTAAGCATTTATGAATTCTATTGAAAAGAATTTTCATGTATGTTTGCCACAATAGGTGTCCCTGTGTAATGCCAGCTTAGCCAGAGAGTGGGGACAATGATGTCACTACTCAGCGCTGCGCACGCAGTCAGTGGTGCGATCGCCTGTTATATACCTCCATAAATCCCTGTACAGCTGCTCCCTGAGTTACGACCACCTCCACTTACGACCATCCGCACTTACGACCAAAGCGGTCGTAAATGCGGATCCGAGTTACGAATGGCGATCCGTGCTTACGAACAGCGCGGTCGCCATGTAACTCTATGGGATTTGAGTTACGAACACTTTGAGTTACGGACCAAGTGTTGGTCCATAACTTGTTCGTAACTCGGAGAGCGGCTGTCCTCACTCTCAGGGAGTGTGGATCATGTGGGTGACTGAATATGAATATACTAGTGCCGCGTTAGACAAAGTCAAAGCTTCAGCTGTCAAACCAGTTGCTTGTATGGGAGTGTGCAGGCAGTGCTCTTTACTTCACTTCAGTATAGTCATGTGAGTTCTTGTATTTAAAAATTTAACCATGACAAATATAAACTGACTATGATAGATTAATCTATGTACAATTGAACTAAATGTTGGGGGGAGACAGGGAGCTAGAGGGAATCAGTAAGTATTTGAAGATTGGGTAGTTAAAACAAAAGCAAATAAAAATCAAAGTCAATTGATAGTATCCTTCCTGACACTGGAGTCTACACAAACAGCTATTTACACCTTAAACTGTTAAGTTGATAGTGCCCCAACCATCCTTCATCACGATTGAGTCCATCAGCATCTGAATTGAATTTGCTGATGAACTCTAATTTCAATGTTTCTCTGTGTATCTGGCTAGTAGAACTAGTTTGTGACAAGGCAGCCACTTGAAGATCTTTTAAACAGTGATTAGGAAGATTAAAGTGTTCCTCAATAGGTTTCTGTATGTTTCCTTTATGTAAATCTGATTTGTGTCCATTGATTCTTTCCCGCAGACTGTCCAGTTTGTCCAATATATATAGCAGTGGGGCAATGTTGGCATTTGATGGCATTGATCTAATTACTGGATGGGCAGTCAAATGACCTTTTGATTTGGTGGCTTATGTTGTTGGCTCCAGGGATGAATTTGCTAGGATAAATATGTGGGCAGAGTTGGCACTGTGTTTGGTTGCAACTCCAGTCATCTGAAGAAGTGGGCTGTGCTCATGAAAGCTCATGATACCATCTACATGTTTTGTTAGGCTATAAAGTGATATCAGACCAGTTTTTTTTTCTGTAACAGACTAAGTGGGCTACCCCCCTGAAGCTTCTTAACAACACCGAGCTCTAGCCCAGGCAGGCTCACGCCCTAACACTGGGTAGTTAGTCTCTAAGGTGCCACAGGACCCCTCCTGTCTCAGCGGACCGGGAGGACCAGGGCTGCGCCTGTGACCCCCGCACAAGAGTTGCAAGGGCTCAGCGCCCCGGGGCAGCTGGGGGGGGCATAAGTGGGCTACCCCCCTGAAGCTTCTTAACAACACCGAGCTCTAGCCCAGGCAGGCTCACGCCCTAACACTGGGTAGTTAGTCTCTAAGGTGCCACAGGACCCCTCCTGTCTCAGCGGACCGGGAGGACCAGGGCTGCGCCTGTGACCCCCGCACAAGAGTTGCAAGGGCTCAGCGCCCCGGGGCAGCTGGGGGGGGCACCAAGCAGTTGCCTGCGCTCCCACTGCGTCGCCCTGGCACGGCAGGCCCAACCCCCC